CGCTCAGGGGACCGATTGCACGTACTATCACGCTACTGAGAAGCAACCGGGTCAATTAATCTGGTACACAACCATTCCCTGCGCTTCATTCAATACAAACACTTTAATATCATAAATTTTCTTTAAAAGGTGCACTGTACAGTTGTATATTTTAACAGCTGATTTAGGAAAACAGTTTTCGTGCGACGCTTAATCTTCCTGGGCTGGTTAAAGCTGGCGTCATATACGTGTGTTTAGAATTTCGGGTACTTTCATTCTTTTTATAAAGAGGTATTGAAAGAAACTTACTGCCACGCAACCAAATCGGTGAAAAAACCGAAGTACCTCAAAGTAACAATTTTTGCAATCCTTTAAACCATTCCCTATAAATATAACCTATAAAAGGGCATCCATTTTTCATTGTCAATGTAAGAATATCGACATTTTGAAAATGTCTACGTCCACAGAAGAAACTATAGCCTATTGCAGTATAAACTGTCGATCATTCATATATATATATATATATATATATATATATATATATAGGACATATGTAGTAGGATGATTTTTCGTAAATTGAGTATGGAATAAAAAACAGCAATTTTGCTGTTATAAATAAACATTAAATGGCGGGGCTGGTGAGATCTTCATACTGCTGAGAATGTGATATAAAAATGACCGGACAGTCCTCTTAAGTCGGAGCTGGCATTCATTGAAGCCCAGGGACCGTTCGCGTACAATATGTTTCATAAAGGGAACCGAACTTGTACTGAACAATAAATCACCTTGGTGTCTGAGTCGCTTTGGATAAAAGATACGGATGACACATTTTAGAAGTGCACAGCTCGTTCCGATTTCTTACTCTTTATGCTAAACTGTACGCAGAGGCTGCAGAGTGAAAGTCCCGAAGCGTTGCGAAGTGCGGCGAGCAGCACCGTCCTAAGGGGAACCACGTTAAGCCGCACAGCAGCGCCAAATAACTGGGGCCAAAAGCCGCGCCAACGACCGCGTCGCTGCTGTCCGCAAACGTTTCTAAAACGGCATTTATCGGAACACTGTCATGTAGAAAACACGACCCGGAGCTCGGTTTAAAAACACTGGCTCACCTGCTTTTGTATGAACTCGACATGTTGACTTCCTCGTCGGTGAGCAGAAACTGTGTCGCAGTAAAAACAGTCCGATGGTGAAACAGCCGTGTCTGATAAGAGGCCGCGCATTCCTTCCTATCCACATTTATGTTACAAAACAGAACCATAGGATATCATTACAATTTTCTCTTCTTAATACATTACATAATTCACATATAAATGAAAAATATAGCGTGTAACCCATTTTGGTATCAGCAAATATGTAACTATTGTAGTAGCCTATCTATAATTTTTGCCTATTTTCCAGATCTTTATAGTTAACTTTTCTGGTATTATGAGTTTTCATCTGAGCAGCATAGAAAACTAGCAAAAATAAAATAATTGGCGTCATTAGCAAATGTTTGACCTGTTCTCCAAAGCAAAGAAGCAAAAACTCAGCACATTGTGCTAGATAAGGATCCAGATAAACAAGAGATGAAGAAAGTATTAAAGAGAGCAGTCTGTTGAGTACTTTTTTTAGACTGTAAGTCTAGTTCCATGTTGGTTTTGGTAATGAAATGAAAAGTTGTGAAAGCAATTGAGAGAAACAACTGGCCTGAAGAAAAGACAACAAGCACCCTGAATACGTGAAGACTTTTGAGCAGCCAACAGGATGTATAAGCAATGTATTTCTCGTAAATCCATTATACACTCAGTGGTCACTTCATTAGGTACTAGTGATAGAGTCTAGACCATCTAAACCGAGACCAATTCATTTCCAAGACCAGAGATGCATTGAGATCGAGACAAGACCAATACCAAGGCAGGGTAAGACTCAGACAAGACCAAGACCAAGGCAGGGTGAGACCGAGACAAGACCAAGACCAAGACAGGGTGAGATCAAGTCAAGATCAGAAACAGACTAATGGTTGAGTCTACATAACACTACCCACTATTAAATTAGCTAACATAAGTTATAGCTACATGACCTCCTTGTCATTGTACATCACAAGCAAAAACCTAATTTTAACGTAGGAAAAACAGTGTCACCATGTGCTATCCTATCAATCTAATGTTACATTACATTCCTGCATATTACCTTAATTCACTAAATTAGGTAGACAGTGCTAGTTAACACTGGCTGCTTCGACAGTGTCTGTACCTAACGTTAGCCTTGGATGGCAAATGTTAAGGTTTGCTTGCAAGCAACCTAACTACGGTCCTGAAACATATAGTATACTGCTCTTTAAATAAGGGGTTTCTAAGATTTTTCTGATACAGAGACAGGTTGTTAACATTTGCTTGCTAGCTACATAATTTACCTTTCATTATGCTTCCACTCCAAGTGTCAGGTAAAGTTGGACGTTGTCCTGGCTGTCTCAGTAAGAGTTGTGTGTCAGGATTTGCACACTGCTGAATGTTTTTTCTTTGCAGTTCCTTTGCAAATGAAATCTTTATAACTAATATAGATGACTTTAATCAAAAGTAACTTAGTAACATAAGTGACTTAGTAACATAAGTGACTTAGTAACGCGTAACAGTGACATATGTAACATAGTGACATCCACAACATAGTCACATACGTAACTAGCACAACTCGTATAGCTAATCAATATCTCATTGTCTATATTTTAATTAAGTGAGCTGGTGGTGAAATTTAATAAATTCATGGAATGGCTGGGGTGCCCCTGAGGAGAGGTTTAGGAGCTGAAGCGGTGTTCATCTTGCCACTGAACTAGATATCAGTAACTTTGTTGAGAACATAAGAAATTCTTACTCATTTTAATTGTTACTCTTAATTTGCATATATTCTAATATTAAATTGTGTTTTTTGTTCTGAGCAAAAGTGCACTTACTACCCAGATAAATAGCTTTAAACATTTCTTCTGACTGCCTTTTGCACAGTACTGCACATCACTGTTATACTTTTTAATGCTGATCTGTAAGAATGGTGCAGCTGTTCCCTGAAACAGAGGGAGGTCTTTGGAGTTTGGAGCCTTTAATCCCACTATTTCTTCATTCCAAAAACTGTAATTAATATACTTGGATGCTGTGCTTTGTTTTGGCTTCCAACACCCCCACTCCAATTGCCGAATTCCCGCACACGTTTACTCGCTTTCGTTTGTTTTTCTCGTCCTCTTACAATGCTCCTCTATTTTCACATGTTTTTTTGTGCAGTGTCCAAGCTGTCCCGCCCCATATCCTAATAGCCTGAGGTTTCCCAGCCTATTCCTGTGTGTTTGCTGTCTAAATGAACAATGTTGTCAAAAGACCATTCGTGTTTATCCAGCAAAGTGTGCTCAGCAAAATTGTTCTGCTATCAGTTTGTGATCCTGTACATTCTAAACGACCTTGACAAAAAAAAGTAGTAAATGGTTACATTTATTGAGCAGATACTTTTATACAAGGTGACATACAATTGAGAAAGCAGGTCAGACAGTGAGCCTTGAGCAATTAGTGGTTAGGGGCTTTGCTCAGGGACCTAACAGTGAAATCACTCTATAGACCCTAGGATTGGAACTGGAAACCTTCCAGTCATTAGAACGGTGCCCTAACCCGGATCCTGAATACTATATGCTTGTTTTTATGCCAAATGTCAACCAGCTGGAGCATAAACATGAGGTCATATGGTGAATGAACAAAAATGTGCACAGAAGAATCTGGGTTATTGTGTGCTAATAAAACCACAAAATATCATTATCTGTGAATTCAAAGTAATTCTTTCGTTTTATTTTCAGTTTTCTAACACCACTCACTTGGTGGTAAAGGCCCTACAATGGCTGTACTTTCTCAGGAAGTGGAGAGGGGCCCATATACCTCAGCAGCTCCTGATCAACTTGTACCGCAGCACCATTGAAAGAATCCTCTCCCGCTGCTTTCCTGTGTGGCATAAGGACCTCCAGCATGCGGTGAAGGCTGCAGAGTGAATCATCTGAGCTGACCTCCCAGACCAGCCTATGCTAGCCAACTGAAGAAGGCTGGCCAGCAGGATCATCAGAGACACAGGTCATCATCTGGAAAGCGGTTCACTGCTTTGTGTATTATAAGGCGTAACTGGCAATGTGCAGGAGACACACTGTCGTGTTAAGATAAAATAATCTTTATTAATCCTACAGTTGGGAAATTTGCATTGTTACAGCAGCAACATGGACAATACAAGAGGAGCAAATGCAGCACAACCTGTAAACTTTAGCAAAAGACTGTACAACATAATAAAAAACTATGCAATATAGAAAAAAATACATAAATATGTATATGTGGAAAATGTAAATATACAAAAGTGTTCATCTTCAGATCCCTATTAGCAGCAGAAATTGAATGTTTGGTAACAGCAGAAATGACAATATTAGAACACTGCACAGCCTCCTATATGAAAAACCATTGCACCTTATCGGTGGTATTCTACCACATGTACTTTTGCCCACGTTCTTTTAATGAGTATCTCTCACTTCAATAAAAAATCATCAACATGGAACTCCGGAGCTACATATCTGAAACCAAAATGGGAGAGAATTCATTCTCGGTTATGTTAAGACTAGTAAAACTTCTGCCTTTACATTTTCATTTATTGAGCAGACGCATTTATCCAAAGCGACAAACACTTTTAAGAAATCAAGTTTAGACGGTGCCAGGGGCAACTGAAGGTTATACGTCTTGCTTAGGTTCCCAACAGCGAAGTCATCCACGGGATGATAACCTGCCACTTTCTGATTATATCACAGCAAAATACGGTGCGGATCCACGCACAGCCCGCATCCACCTGCAGGGCCTGGTACTCCCAAGCAGTCTCCCATCTAAGGACTAAGCACGTCTAAGATCGGGTGCATCCAGAGAAGTATGACTGTAAGCTTTTCCTACGATTATTGTAATATATCTTGAAAATATCTGCGGTCACTCGAGCAACGCTCTTTTACACCCCAGTGCAGTAGGTGGCAGCACTCATTGCTTAGTGGCCTTAAATCCAACCACGAATGATTCGTTTAAGGAGGGTCGCTGCTTTCGTCTTCATACGTTTCCAAGGACATTGCGAGAGGCGGGACAATGGCAGCTGCCTGCGTGCGAACGCTGGGTCGGATCAGCCGGTGTTCAGTTCCGAGCCAGACGCGCAGGACCGGGAATTTCTCAGTCCAAGTTCAGCTGTTCCGAGGACCGAGCAGATCGTACGGGACGGGCGACGCGGGGTTCCGGTCCCGCATCTTCTCTGCTGCACCTTTGCGGGGCGGCAGCAGGATCCTGCCGTGCGCTTTTTTCTTAGGTGCTGGACTCGGATTGTACCAGACTGTCAAACTGTCATTTCAGCGGCAACTGGCAGCGCAGGATAGTAATGTAAGCGACTAGTGAAATCATCCCATTCGTTTGTTACTTGATTGTGTTCCTCAAGTTATGACTTGGCATTTTCTTTTAACTTAAATTCAGTTGCACTAATAAACAATTTCTCGTTTGTGTTGAATTCTCGATATTCCTTTAGCAATGCATTATTGTGCATGTATAAGATACGTAACCTCGTGTATCTTTCCTTCATTTTAGGCTCCTCGTAGGGAACTTAAGTTAACTTTGTATCAGTACAAGACCTGTCCATTCTGCAGTAAAGTTCGAGCCTTCCTTGACTACTATGGACTTCCTTATGAAATCGTGGAAGTCAATCCTGTTATGCGACAAGAGATTAAATGGTCGCAATACAGAAAGGTCCCCATTCTTATGGTGGATGGGACACAGGTGAGCCCAATTCTATACAGAGACCTCATTTACCTTCATGGTCATAACACTGAATCTGTATAAAAATGCAATGTTGTCAAAGTTTATTATTTGCCCATCTCTCCATTCACCTGCAGCTGAATGACTCTTCTGTAATAATTAGTGCCTTGAAGACTTACTTGTTCAGCACGTGAGTAATCTTGTCATATCAGACTTGTCACTCAGATTAGTTGCACATCCTAATTGCATCTTTGCACCTTGTGTATTGCAATATCCTGTTCAGTATTTTATTCATTTTATTTTATTTCACTTTATTGTATTCAGTAATCATATTGTGTTGTCTTGTATGTTATTGTGCAATTTAAATGTAGCTGGCTGCTATGACAACTTTAGTTTCTCTCCAGGAATCAATCAATCAATCAATCTCTGTCTGTCTCTGTCTATTCTATCTATGTATCTAATCTCTTCCAGTTTATATTCAAGTATTTTTCTCTATGTTCTAGTAAAAATTGTGCCTTAGCTTTTAAAATCTGCAGCAAGTTCATCTTGATTTTCGTTTTGCCCTATTTGTTGAAACCTTTGTCCTCACACAGGGAGAAAACAATCCCTGAAATCATCACCTATTACCCAGAGCTGAAGTCCAAGAATGAAAAAGGCAAGGAAGTGACTGAGTACTGTAACAAGTACTGGCTGATGCTAACTGAAGCAGAGTCAGGAAAGCTGTACTTGGAGAAGGATTCCAGAAAGTAAGATGTCAGCATTTATTTAATTTCTAAAGCTGTAATTATTTATGCAGCCAGTGTTAAATTGCTGATTTTGTTTCTCGTGATCAGTCACAATGGAGAGCATCTCTCAGTTGAGTTACTGTCTGTGAACCAAAGAAGGACATTTTCAGAACTCACTTTGGAGCATTTTAGTGTGTTTTAAAGCTCAAACTTCTTGGATTTTGAGCTTCTCGCACGTTTCCTCCTCTCTAGGGAAGAGATGAAATGGCGTCAGTGGGCAGATGACTGGCTTGTTCACCTGATTTCCCCCAATGTGTACCGTACTCCCCGTGAAGCCCTGGCCTCCTTCCACTACATAGTGCATGAAGGCAAATTCAGCTCCTTTGAGGGTTTTTTTGCCAAGTACTTGGGGGCGGCAGCCATGTTTCTCATTTCGAAGAGGCTAAAGAGACGGTGGGTGCTGTGCTCAGAAGCGGGTCTTAGTGGGTCTTTGCGGGTTTTAGCTGAAAGTGAACACTTCAGTGGAGAAGGGTCGCCATGATGGTCAAATGATAGCCCTAGAATCTATTTAAGTAAATAAATATTTTTATTTGGATATATGTGTATTACATGAACTACAAGCATGTTTCACACACATTTTTATTCAAAGAAAACTGTTCAGGTTGATCTGGATTGATATATTTTAAAACAGTATAAAATATGGTTTTTTAAAAGGTCTAGTTCTTAAAAAAAAAAAAAGTTAGATTTTTTTTTTTTTTTTTGTATTAACCTCGAAGACCAAAGCACTAAAACAATTATGAATTATTTTAAAACCATTATTGTGACACATTGATAAGGCACGTGTTGATTTACCTCCTTAGGGATGTTTTCAGTGCCAGTATGAGCCCTGAAATATGTCTCCTTGGCATCTTTCTGTCCGTGTGTCACTCACTCTTGAGACTTCCTTCATTCTGTCCTCAGGCACAATCTGCAGGATGACGTGCGACAAGACCTTTACGCTGCTGTGGATGACTGGATGTCGGCCATTGGCAAGAAGAGGCCTTTCATGGGCGGGGAGAAGCCCAACCTTGCAGACCTGGTATGGAATCTTTGCCTCTGATCTGACTGTAATGTTTTTTTTCCCTAGTTTTTTTAGTCTCTTTTTTTATAAGAGGACGAATGTCCAAGTCTTGAGTTGTACTGCACCCTGTTTTGTGGTATGACTGTGAAACATGGACGCTATCCAGAGACCTGAGAGAAGACCTGGGTCGCACATGTAACACCTTGCTGCGGCAGATAGACAGCCATTTCTGTAGGGTGGGACTGGACCGTGCGTTGGCCTGGGGGGTCGCCAACCGGGATCCTGATGTGTTTCGTTGTGTGGTTGGTGCACTGTACCAGTGCTCACTCCCCAACATGACTTGACCTTTAAATCTTTAAGTAACTGGCAAAGTGGTCATGTTTCTCTCCCCTTACACGTCGTGTGCCTTCTCTGCCTTCTACAGGCTGTGTACGGTGTCCTCCGTGTAATGGAGGGTCTTCAGGCCTTTGACGACATGATGGAAAACACCAAGGTGGAACGTTGGTACCGACGCGTGGAGGAAGCCGCCCAGCGGCACAGCAGGAGGACGTGATCCCCCCATGTTGCTGGAGGTGGCAGGAGCCAATCCGCAGGACATTTTATATAATTTCGCTCAAAAAATGCACCAAAACAGTCAGGCAGTCCAGGTCATGGCTGCTAGCTACCGTCTGTTAGTAAAGCCCTAACAGTAGATGGCTTCAGCGCAAAGAATACATGTAGTATAAGCAGCCACGCTGCTGTTTTGCCAAGACTGGAAACAGAACCTGCAACAATACTGTCACCTTTCCCAAAACATTCTAGCGTTCTTGGTGCTCAACATAAACTATATCACTTTTAATTTGGTCACAGCCAATGTTCATTTGTTTTTCGTGCTCAATATCGGCAATTGAATAAGATCTGAGCCCTCAGTTTAATCAGCAGTTGTACTTGGATTCCCAGCTGTGCACAAACTGACAACTCTTTTTTTTATTTTTACTATGCAGTTAGGATTTTTACTAGTGCACTTGGTCTTGTTTGCTGCTTGCATTTTCAAAGAGGTCCCTTCTCAGAGCGTAATGAATGAAAATATGTTTATGTGCACTAGGCATGCCAGTCCCCTGGTGGGCTTTATGCGAGCAGATTTTTGCTCAGACTGTTTTTTTTTTATATGTTTGGGTGGGACTGTGGCGAAATCGCTGATGATGGTCAGGAGTATAAAATGGGGAAGGCAGGAGAATGACCTGGAATGTGACAGAAACGGGATCTGACAGGAATGATACGCGCAAGATCGTTTTTGTTCAGTGGAGCAGGATAAAAGGAAAACTGAACAACTTTCTGCTTTCTAGTCTGAATTAATGCAAAACAGCAGCTTGTAAAGAACTGGGATCCCTGCCTGAATATGCCATTCTGGATTAAACTGCCTCGTTCTGGTTATAGGAGCTCTGTGTAATTCCTTAGCAGAAGATTGGACTAACTTCAAGAATAATACCTGTTTTAGGACAAGAGTAATATCTTGTTTGAAATTTATCCTGGATGTGTCTTGTCTTAAACGAAATGTTTTTTTTTTTTTTTTTTTTTTTTTACTAAAGTGGCTACTGAAATTAGTTTCCACTTTTAAGATTGCAAACGGTTTCTGTTGGTTGAATCGCACTTAAGGCCTGTCTTAACAGTTTTTACTTATGGATATAATGGGATAATTCAAACAAGTATTTCCGGATGTGCGTGATACTGTGTAAATGTTAAAAAAAATAAACTGCATCTTATCAAAGTGTTTCATCAATGGGTTACTTTATGCTTAATAGCTATAATGAGCTGCAATCCAGGCCATTATAAGGGTAGCGTAGTGGGATTGGATTTAAATAAACTCACAAGGATTTCTACAGCTGGAAAGCTAAGAACAACACTGCACATCTCCAGGTGGGTGACTGTAATAATCCTGCCCTTTTACTGCTTCTCTCACGCTATGCACCATTAACGGAATTCTTTGGTTTCTCGACAAAAGAAAACAATGTTGACTTCAGGCGTGCACACACATCTCGGTTCCGTAGCAGGTCTCCACTTAAATGCTGGATTGAAACCTTTAATGTTTAATATCGTCTCCATGACAACAAACCATGCCTTCAACGCCGTAGGCATTGTTGTGTGCGTGTCACAGGAGTCTACCAATCACAGAGCGAAAGGGACTAAAAACACTGAATGAGCCAGTTACAGTTAAGCAGACAGCTTCCGGAAGACAGGAGTTTTTGAGAAATAATGGGGGAAAAAATGACCAAATTGTAGCAAACTAGATCAACCATTAGAGAATCTATTTTTTGTGATAGAGTTTTAATATGGTAAGGTAATGAGAAATCCGTCTTCTGTTCTGGTCATTGTTATAATGACTACGACCTGAATCACTCCCAAATGAATTAACCTGGTACCTTGCAAAGAAACACGAAAAAGGGCAAGGGCTAACTATGTAATTATTAAATTAACATTTAACAATGATTTTCAGATTAAATTAGCTTGTTTCATTTAAGGTTATTACCTATTTCCGACTAAAAGAGGGGAACGTTTCTAATAACCGATATTATTCCCAGGCATGAGCTTCTTTGTGACTAACCTACAATGGACATATTTAATTGTAAAAAACTTCATACTAGTTTCGTTATCTGCATTTACTGTATAGCCTCTACCTGCCATTTCACTGTATGTTTAATATCAACTAGGATCTTGAATAATGTCTCCGTTATCTTCTACATGAAAGGGCTCGAATCCCGTTCTCCTCAGTCCTTATGACGTCACCTTTTTTCCTTGATGAGGCTGGCTTTCCTAGAAAAATGGAAAAAACTGGAAGCTTGTGACTACCAGAAGTGCTGACTGAACCCTGAGAGTACTTCATTGTCAATCGGCAGAAAGTGTCCATGGTCTTGGAAGATGCTTCCTGTAATTTAATCCTTGCTCACTGCAGCTGTCAATTAGGGTAAGAACTCTCGGAAGATCAACTACTCAATGGATTTGTTTGTTCTACATATGATGAGATGGCCGAGTGGTTAAGGCGATGGATTGCTAATCCATTGTGCTCTGCACGCGTGGGTTCGAATCCCATTCTCGTCGGTCTTTGTACCTTTAGCTTGTTTCC